TGCCGCCTCCCCTCACGTTCCTGGGGTCTGCCGCCCGCCGGCTGGCCGCGGCCCGCAGCCCAGGCCCCGTCCCTCGGGGGTTGAAATCGCACCGGGAGCCCACGGAGAGTCGTTGCGATTCCTAAAATGCGCTTCCAGTGGAGCTAGCCCCTCTCAGCTGGGGAGGGGAAGCCTGAGGGCTTGACCCGGCTGTGCGCTCCAACCTTCCCGATGAAAAACTCATGGGCCGTCAGTATTGCTAATGATTTCTGGGTTTGGGTGGGGGGTTTTGTGATTTTGGTGTGTTCACGCAGTTAGGTGACCATTTCAGCGAGCCAGCTACTTCCACAAGTAAATACTTCCTATGCTTTTCACACCAATGCTTATTTTGAATTTAAAACACGGTGTTCAAGTACAGGTTACACCTAAGTTTTCCAAAACATTTTGCAAGTATTTCCTAGGAAGCTCTTTTGAGATGAATTATCATCGTGACACTTGCTTTGCAGGTAGGGGAAAGATGTCCCAAAAGACGAGTAAATGACCAATACCATTTATGAAGATGGCCCTTTTTTCCCCCCAGAACTGTTCTATACCGTTTCCATTCAATCAACTTTCATTTACTCTAAAATGAAACAGAAGAATTAGTATCTTGATCTAAATGCCCTGTAAAATACTAGTTTATTGCCACAGAATCGCACTGGTGCACAGAGAAAGAATAATTCTGGAACAAAATTGGACATCTTCCCAGGTTTATTTGCAATCCCTTTGTCTGTAATCCGTTAGTTACATAATAGAGCGGAAAACCCCGTGTGTGTCTGGAAACTGTAAATAGTTCAATTAAGAAACTACGGGCACTAGCTTGTGCTCTCAGGAATGGGGCTATTTTAAGGATACAGGGTGTGTGGAGAACCTCTCAGTGTTAGGTATTAAGGGTATGGCAGGCCCCCCCAGCCTGACCTGCGGCTGCCCTGGGTAGAGCATGGTTTTAAATGGCAGAAGTGGAGCTGTCCTTAATGCAATTTTTAACCTCATCCACCTCTGAACAGACTTGAAGGAACCCATTTGGATCTCGGGCCTTTAGCTAGCTCCTTCTTAGTGTGAAAAGCCCTGATCTACTTCCTTCAGACCCAGTTCTCCAGGCAGCCGCAGGTCGTTGCTGTTGTCTAAGTAGATCTGAGTGAATTTCAGGCTGTGGAGTTACATGTTGTTTCAGAGTTAAGATTATCCTACTGACTCTTACAAAGCAAAACAGCACTCGTTCAGATTAAAAAGGGTCTCAAAGAAAATGTGTCTCAAAACCTACTGTCTGAGGAACTTGTCCATCTTCCACAGGGCATCCTAGCAGGTTCAAAGCTCTTCAGATCCCTCTTTAGCCACAGACTTCTGTCAGTTCTTTAGTCAAAGATCAATGATCCTCTCTGAGGCCAGGATTGATCTATGATTTCATATCTTCCGTGTGCCTGGTTGTCTTGAGCCTACCTGTACTATTCCAAAGAGGGAAAATTTCAAAAGACTTGTTACCTGCACTCTTTTAATTCCGGAGAGCTTGAAATAATAGCCCTCACTCTGCCCATGAGTTCATTCAAAAAGTATCCTTCAGGTTATTATTACAGCAAGTTATTAAAAAAAAAATCAAAAAAGCCAGGAGACAGAAGTTACATATATTATCCATAAAGCTCATGCAACAGCTTCTGATTCCACAGTGTCTTAACCTCTGTCACAGTTTTCCAAAGACAGGTATAGTTCTTCTGCAAGCAGGAAAGTAATGTACACAGCAGTGGTTTCACTGCTGTGTGGTGTCCCCATCTTCCCTTCTATGTCAGCTCAGCACGTCTGATTTGTGAAGACAGTGGTGTATCTTTTTTCCTCCTCATCTGAAGTTTTTAATAATGCTGTTAGTACCGGAGGCACAAAAACTGAGATGTGTCCAGGCCCAGTTCCAAGGTAATTCGAATTGTCTATCGTCTCCATTCCCTTCGCCGTTATATGTACTGAGACCATCTTCTCAACAGCTAAGCACAAATGTGATTTAGCTGCTATGGGACATTTAGTAGCTTTCCATAATTAAATTGCAATGCAATGCGATACACAAAGGTTAAATCAGGAAGCTGCTTAACTTTTATATTTATCAGTAGATATCTGCCAGATTCTCATTAGTTCTGGCTCATGTTGCACATTGAAACAGATGTGACACAGTATCAATTTTAAAATCTTGATTAGCTGTAAATTACTTTTTACACTGAAAGAGGCAATATAATTAATAAATAAATAAATTAGGTCATAGTAACACGTTAGCACCGGTATTGATTTGGATCTAATTATTTAATTAAATAGTAAGATTGATAAAACACTCTTTAGCTTTCCAACAAAGAAAGTAGCGGATAATGCAACTGAATACCAGTTGAAGAGACCAGATTATGTTACATCAAGATTTGGAAATTAGCTAATTATTTTGACAGTGAAACTAAACCTCAAAACCATCCCACACTTCGTCCTTTAATTTCAGCTCTGTCATGGTGGTAAAATCATTTTCAATTCAGCTAGAACACTGATTACTTTAATATGCAGAAGTTCAAAACTATTGACATGCAATTTGTGGCTGATGGTTGCAGAGATCATTTTCCATCACTTTAATGCCATCATCCCATTTTTGCTTCCAAACCCTGACTCGTCTTTCTCTGTTGCATTAGACAAGCACATCCTTATCTTTTAAATTCTTTCCATGTTTTATTTAATTTTACATAAAATGTCTTCTCAGGTATTCAAATGTTCCTCTATTCAAAGAAAAAATGTTGTTAGTCAACATTACTGACTTGTTACATTTTCAAAATGTCCTCCTAATCTTTCTCAATGTATTTCCATTATATTTAGAAGTAGTTCCTCGTAGGTTTATGCAAAGATTCCTCTATTCTCTTTCAGGGCTCTTAAGTTACCATATTTCCAAAAGAATGAAAAATTAGTCCCTTGATGTGCCTACCACATGGACCAATATTATCTAATTGCATTCCCCTGTTTTACTGTATCTGTCTGCCCTCTGCTTGGGATAGACCTCTTGCCGGGAAGGGACCTCTCTCTGTCCTGGAGCATGGCACAGAACAATCCTTATGCTTGTGATCAGGTCTCTAGGGCTCTCTGTAAGAACTAATAACAACACAGATAAACTATGAACACTTAGTATTTAAATGAGACAGAGTTTAGGGTTATTTATGCTTACAGTTCTTTCTTTCTGGTGCCTTTTTATAGCCATTGCTATGTATGCAAAAATTGCATAAAATGATTGATAAAATGATTGCAAAAGACCAAGAAGAAGCTTGAAGAAGAGGAAAAGTCATTTTAAACAATAAAACATTTTGTTCTCTTCAGTTCCTGTGATCTTCTGTACTTTTTTGGACTGAAAGTTCAGTTAAAAAAGAGCCAGGTGGTTCCTAACAAACCCCTTCTTGTGAGTGGGGTTTTTAGGACTGCAAGGAAGCTTGTCATCAGCTATGGTAGCCCATCTGCTGATGCCATGCTTTCCTTCCCCAGCAGCAATCTGCCTTGGCACTCAGGAATCTCAGGCGCCCCTCAGAGAGTTTATTGTCCCTGGTGACAAAAGCTTTCAGTTTACTCTTTTGGTTTGTGATTACATTGAGCTTAGAGCCCCCCCTCTCCAAAATCTTTCAGAAAATTAAGTGTAGAACACACTGTGGATTCTAACAACACAGCGTTGGCAAGTTATAGTTAGATACATGGAAGGCTACCAACAATATGAACAACTCTTGCAGCTGTTGTGTTGTAACACAGTGTTGCACTGAGGAGTGTTGGTACTCCAACACAGACAGTATTAAAAAGGCACAAGACCTCATTGGAACAGGTATTTTTCATCAGTTTAATAAAGGCGGGATCTAACATTAAATTAAAATACCTAGCTGCCAGAAGTAAGCAGAAATACCAGTCATGCAACTACATCTCTTGGTAAAACAGAAAGAAGGTGATTGACCTATGTCACCATTAACCTAGATTGTTTTGCAAACAGGACAATTTTGTAATTTTTATATTTAGGAAACAAAGAATAAATCAAACATCTTATTTTGGGAAGTATTCCTCTTCACAGAAATTGGTACTTAGCATCTTATCAGTATACAACCATTGGGGGGAAAACCGTAAGTGTTTCATACAATTACTATATTCTATTTATGCTAAAATAAGCTATTTTGTACTTATTTATGAGATTTATTGCTCTTACCAGTTCTTCAGAATTTCTACAAATGGTTCCAGTGAGGAACAGATTCCAGAATATATCATCACTTTTTGACAATTGTCTTACTTCTGTAATAAATGGACATTTCTGTTCTGAACGCTGACCGTGCTATATGAGGAAACGCTGATTTTAATTTCTGGCTTTTATCTAATGTGGGTTTTGAAGCTATCTATTTATTATCTTGCTTTCCACTCCAGAAGTTGTTAGCTGGGATGTGAGTCACAGCTGTGCAGCATGACAAAGGGAAGTAGGCTTCTTACCACTCCATCTGTCCTCAGGCAAACTGATCACAGAAGACTTGGTCCTTTTAGGTCCTAGCTCTGGTAAAGTCCATAAGCATGTCTGCAAGCCTGGAGCAAAAGAAACACTAAATCTTTCTAAGCAAATCAAGTGGCCAAGTCAAAGCTTATAGCCTTCAGTCTTTATTCACATGAAAAACAGTTGCACA